AGTCACTAGATGTGAAAAAAATAACCCTTTCCGACCTCGTGAAGATAATGAAAAACTTTTTAATCTTGAAATATTGTATCTTATTGCAATTGGAGCACTAACGTATCTTACTAACAATACATAACTTGATATATCATTTTCTCTAAATTTATTAGCAAGATATAGTTCTTCACCAACTCGAAGATAATAATGCTTGTACAGTACAATTAACGGAATGAGATATTAAAAGCGATAAAATAAAACAAATTTCGCTAAAATTAACCAAAATTCTTTTTCACTCATAATCTCCAAGAATATGCTGGTATTAGTATTCAACAAATTTAGTCAAGTGAAAATCTAGCAGATTTATTCACTGAAGTCATTCTTATTGCAATATTTGAAAAGTTAGTACAAAAAATTAGAATATATTATTTTAAAGATCTCTATAATAAAATCATCAGGGGAGTAAAATATGCACTGTACTCTTTTCCTTCAAAGTTTTTCCCATCGAGTTTTTTTTGATAAGGTTTTTAATGAGACAAAATTTCAAAAGAGTATTATTAAAAAGATTATGTACTCTTTTTCTTTTACTCAGATTTTTTTTCCATAAGGGTTTTTCCTAGTAAGATTTTAACGAGGCATAGTTTTAAAATAATGGATATTCAAAGAGGAGTGTTATGAATATTTTTATGAATACTCATTTATGTTATCTACATAGTTTTGGATGTAAATTAGATTAGATCAACCTTAAGATTTAATCCATCCATCTAATTTCTTAGTATTGTCATCATCTTGTAAATTCAATTTAGATAAGGGGTTATTAGTCTATAAATAGACCATTTCACTCTATTTATAAATATACACTTAAATAAGATTTTCTTACTTTCTCTAAATACTTTGTTTCCTTTTAAATACTTTGTTTTCCTCTAAATATTTTCTCTTATATATTTTTTATATTTGTTTTCTTAAAATTTATTTCATAACATTATTATATATAAAAGAAGATTTGATGTAACAACTCAAAGAAGATAATAACCACTTTATTTCTTGAGCATGACAAATGTCAATTTTTCAAAGCAAAATCAAAACAAATTTATTTACAAACAAAAACAAAAATAAGCTATATAACTCTAAGATAATCAATTTTTATGTCTGTGTGTGTCATATATATGTAATTTTAAATTACAAATAAGAAGAAAACAGGTAATTTTTATTTATTCCACAAATTTTATTTCGTCCATTTCAAAATTTGAATACGTAGTGTTTTAAGTTGGAATTTTAAACTCTATCGGTCGAAATGCTCTCTTGAACACCAACGTTATCGAATTTAATTAAATAAAACTTACATTCAATTTGCAATGTTGTGAAATCAATGCATTAATAAATTTAATCATTATATATATTTATTATTTATTATTTATATCAAAAGCAGGCAATACAGTCATTTGACTTACCGGGCATTTGAAACAAACAAAATGACAAATGGTGACCAATGGCCAGCGTTGTGAACCCCCTTGACACGAAAAACAAATCCAAAGCAAAAGCATGGCATACACAGGGAAAAAACCAAACACTTAGGCCCACAATTTCATCAATCATCATCAAAGAAAAATAACTTAGGTCCACCAATTATGTGTGTGCACTTCTGATGGGGGGTGGGGTCCCTTAGTGGAGGTGCTGGGCCCTTTGAAAGAAACGGTAGGAAAATGAGGATAATTACACTCAGCGGGGTGTTTTGTAATTTTCTGCGGAGAGACGCAAACTCACTGCCGTTTTTATGTTTTTTGTCAAGTCAATTTAATAGAACGTGGGACCATGGTTGGGCCCATTTTCTATGGGCAGATGGATATGCATGGCCGAAGTCTGTTTTCTGAATTAGCTGTAGTAGTAAATAATTAAATAAATAAAACAAAAAGAAAAGAAGAGAAAGAAAACAAATGCACAAATTGTTTTCTTGTTTGTTTCTTTCCAGTGCTATGCTTACCTACTTAAAGACTTGATACCCTCTAGGCTACAATACATGTATATCATTTGAAGTCATGTAATCTCACCGTTCATATGTTGTGCTTTGTTTATGGGTATGAAAGTCTTGGTAGGGGCTTAATTATAAGATTATACAGAGGAACTTTTTTATTTATTCAAGTAATAACCTATTTAATGTTTTTAAAGTTAAAATTTGACAATAATTCAATCAGAAAATCTGAATTCCCCAAAAGATATTGTGGGGCATAGCACAGAATTACTCTATATATTAAAAGCTTGACAAAAAATGCTACATCTCTATTTTGATTTTGGGGCCTTTATGTTTAGTAAATGATTGAGTTTGCCATGATTACCTTGAGAAGGGCAATTACATGAGAGGACTTTTGATAAGATAGAAAGGCCAAAAAGAAAAATAACATTTAAAAAAAATTGTGAACAAAAGTTGTTGTATAGCACACAATGAATCATTATAAAGTGTTAGGTGTCATGCACTCACTTATGTAATTACTTGTTAAAATTCACCAATGGTTAAGTTAATATTCGTAAGAGAAATAAAGGCACTTCTTCTGTACGAGTTGCTAACATTTTCACAATGAACCATATGCATACATAGGGATGAAGTTTGTTTGAACCTGGGTCAGTTAGCTTGGTTTTGGAAGTACAATGTTGGAGGGTTTTTGTTTGTCTTCTTTGGTAGAGTTTGAGAAAGAAATGCTCACCTTTCTTGAGTGGTTTGTACTTCGAACGAAAACTCTGGGGAATTTTTTACTTTTACTGTTATTATTATCATGACTTCAACTATTTTTACTTTTGATTGACCAAAAAGTTTGGGAAAGGCAAAACACTGTTATTTAGGCAGACAAAAGTAAAGATTACCTACATTCCTTGGCACTATCCCAAAATTCTGTCAGCCCACTAAACCAACATATATATTTTTTGATGGTTAAAGAGGATTGCTACAGGGGGAAACCTTTATTCCTGCAGGAACTTTAATAGAGATGGAGCATCTGTCCTGCTAATCTAAACATCTTACCCAAAAAAAAGAAGAAGAAGGCTTCCCATGTCCCTTTAGAGCATCATTTGAGTGTGCTAAATGTCACAAAGATGCCTGGTTTAGCCACCTAGCCATAATTCATCTCTTCATCTCACCTTCAGTCAATTGTGTTTTAAACTTAGGTCTTTCAGATTCCAAATTGTCTTCAATTTTAATAACTTTTCAAATATATATATATATATATATATTATTTGAGATTCAGCGATTCCAAAAAAAATTAGAAACAAGGATAATTATAAAATACGAAGGAAGCATTATCCTTGGCATTTTTCCTTTTGGATGATTAGAGAGTTACAGAAGCATGGTGCTTTTCTTTGAAGAAACTCAAAAGGTCTCTCTCAGTGTATGGTTGGTGTCACCATGAAACCTAATTTTCTTCGATGCATATCACTAGCCTTATCTACTCCATGAATTTCTTTCACAGCCACGTCCCTTTCCATCATACCCCAATTATCCAAAGACTTAGGTGGCATGATTCTACTTGTCGGCGGAGCCACGTGGCCATACGGCATAGGAAGGAGAGTAAAAAGGACCACTTCCCCTCACGGAAGTTGTCGTTCGTCAGATGATCACCCCCTCTCTCAGCTAAAGTGGCAGAGCCTGTTCTTTCTCTCTCCCCCCCCAAAATAAGTTTTTGTGTATGAAACAATGAATTTTTACTTCTGAGGATTGGAAGATGCAATTTGTTTGTTGGCTGATCGGGCTTTTGATTGTTCACTCATACGAGAAGACTGAGGAGAGATGGTGACAACGGTGCCGGCACAAGGGGCCCTTCAATCGAGTGGATTGTTCTTAATTTGTGTAGCCAAAGACAAATTTAAAAAATCTTTTTATCCAAGTGTCAGTGGTGATTAGCTGCCTTCAGGACATGAAGTGCCAAGCTGAAGGTTGCAGCTTCGGCCTTGGCCTTAGCCCTAGCCTTAGGCTTAGGGCCCAGACCCTAGTATTGGTTGTGAGCTTGTGGTAATATGTTGCATAGATTGACAAATGAAGGAAAACAAGAAAAAGTTATACCAGCAAAACGTAGCATAGATTGATGTTAAATGGGGTTCAAAGACAAGTAACTAGACTTTAGCATGATCTAAAGAGGTTAATGAAATGGAGAATTTGATAATGACGTTTATACCAGCTAGTATCTACCCTAATAATAATAATAAATAGTAATAGAAAAGCTATTTCTGAAGCAAATTCCTACAGTAACTCCATCAGTCTTGTAACTTTTGAACCAACTCCCAAATTTACCTTATTTTCTTCCTTCTCTTAACAAATAGAAACAGAAAAGGAAAAAAAAATCTACTTTCTCTCTCTCTCTCTCTCCCCAAAAGTTTAATTATTAGTATTAAAATTTTTCCTTGAGTATCCAAATTGACGAGATCATCAAGATCTTCAGTAGGCAATTCCCACACGGTTTTGTCCGTTTCATCGAGGCAAATAAGCCACCATATTGTCTAATTAATAATAAACCCACCAGCATAAGGCTAAGCTAAACAGACCCTCATCCCTAGGCCCCCTAAACTAATTATTTCCGGCCAAGTGCCTAATCTCCCCAGCCATGACAAAAACGTAGAAAACCATATGATCAATTGATAATTTTCTAATTGCCTAAACTATAGTCTTATCAGACTTTTGTGCTTCTAACGCAACCGTTTTGTTTTGTTTGCTGTATGCAAGAGCTTACTCTTTCCGGGTCAATGCCTAAACAGTGGGCTAAAAAGCAATAGCTCAAAGACGTGTTCAAATTTCTACATCTCTCTCTCTAACCTAAGCTTTACCCAATTGTAAGCCTTGCTCACCGGTCCAAACCCACACCAAACTGATCTCTTTCGGAATGACAAGATAGACCGTTTTGTTTGTGGGAATGGACAGTTTACCTGTAAAAGATGATTAATTTAACATCTCTTATTTTCGATATGTGGTCAAAAAGTCTTCAAAAGCATCCGTGATTACACTCCATCATCAATCATGCATACCAACTTCGCTGATATCTCAGAAAACTACAAGACAAACTTTCTTATGGTGATGAATAAATAACTAATGGTACAAGCAGTTCAATGTCATACGCTCACAAAACTCAATTACAAGGCAAACGCCGCAAAAATGGGTTTTACTTCATTTTCTTATCATTTCTGGTTCTCTTTCTACACTCTCGTTTCTCCACAGAATATTGCTTCTTAATTAACAAATTGCACATTGCTGTTTTCACAGCTTCGGCAGCGGCCAAGAACACCTTTTCATCAATTGAAATACTTCCCTGCAACTTCTCCAGCAGTTTTGCTCCACCAGGTATTTCACAATCCCCCAGCACAACTGGCTCCTGCTCCAATGAGTCGGGACTGCTTTTTCTAAAACCAGATATCACTTTTACTCGTGACAAAGACGAGTGATCAGAACCACTCAACTTAGAGGCACCTGTTACCATCCACAATAATCCTCCAGAAATGGTACTGCCTAGGCTTGTAGGAATGAAATTCTCCCCCACAATTGAAACCACCTGTCAAAATCAACAGATATACACGAAATATTAGTTACTTGTGCATTTCAGTAATCATACTTCTGCATTTAGGTATTTAGCCTCTTCTGGATAAACCAGAAAGTTTGGTTAACTCAGGGAAAACCCTATCATAACAGGACAAAGAAATTCTGCGCCACATTTGAATTGGGTAAAAGGCTGACCTGGATAAGAAAATTGCAGATTACTATATAATGTCAAGCAAAGGTAAGGAAACAGATCTCTAAGGTATACAAGCAAAACCATCCTTTAGACAATTGAAAAGTCGTTCTATTGTTGCTTTAAGTTATAGAATTTACCTTGACAACAGAAAGAGTCCGAGATGGAAGGTTGCAGCTCAACAACATTATTCCTGGCAAACTAGAACATAGAACACTATGCATGTTATGATAATTAAACAAACACACGAATCATTGAAGGCGGAGAAAATCACTAATACAGAATACTCAAAATCTCACCTTTGAATGGCCACTGCAAAAAGGGTACAATCTGGGATTGTGCATATGTCAGTAACAGTTGAACAGTTAGCTTCACTTGCATCAAACTTTAATTGTTCTGCCTTCAATAAGCAAGTACAAGTAAAACCAAGTGAGATACAATGGATAACAACAAAATCCAAATAAAACCAATAGTGGTGGCACCCGAGCTTTCAAAATACCAATTGCCTTTCCTTCTAATCAATGTACCCAAAACTCAGATTCCACAATCATTTTCCCCATTGTTTCTTTATGGAAAATGGAAAATGGAAAAGCAGTCATTTAATACAATTAAAGAAAGAAACTTTTCTTTTAGAGGACAGGAAGAGGAAGAAAGAGAGACCAAGGGGATCTATGAACAACAGAGTTGAATGATATTTTTTCCAAGATTAGCAAAACATCATCAGGAATCTCCAGCAAATTCATAACAAGAGAGATACCTTTGCACCAACTTCGCAAGTATCAAGAAGGGATCCAGATATAACATCCCACATGTGAACCTGAAGAAGCAACACTAGTCGATTTTTCACCGAATTTTGCAACTTAAAAAGTTAAAGCACAAGATGAAAACAACTTTGCAGATTAATTAAACAAAATTCTTAATACTCACAGTTGAATCACCACTTCCAGACACAAGAATACCCTGCAAGTAATCTGGAGTACAAATGAAGGCAAGGCAAGAAACAAACCTGTAAACAGATTAATTTAAATGAGCACCTATCTTTAATTATAGAAATAGAATTCTATATTTCTCAGAGAAAATAATGGATACATATCATATCTGGTTACTAAAGAGTATTTTGCACAGTTAGATAATCAACCTACTTGAGCACTTGACTAGGGATCAAGCAAGTATGGGCATGCCAATGCCCTGTAGTTCAGCACTAAAATTTTGTTCAAAAGAGATTCTCTTAAACCAAAAAACCGCATACGGTACCATTCCATTATGTACAAATCACACCAATGCAAGAGAAACATGTGATCATAAAAACTCACTCACTCCTTATGACCAAGACAAAAGCTTTGAATCTCATGAGCTCCATCTAATGGCTTCTTGGGAAACACTGTAACCTGTCAATAGAAAGATCACGTAAAATAGTGCTTTATCAAGCAATAAACTATAGTGGTTACACAAAGGGTAGACAAAGATGGTTTACACGAATTTTAAAATCTCTGTCGGCGCTAACAATAAACCGTCCATCTGGTGAAAACTCCTATAAATAGGACACCGTAAGTATTTGGCATCTATCAGGCAAACCATGTTGGCAACAACAAGTATGTACCAATAAAAGTGGTAATAATCCTTGAAAGTGGAAAACAATGAATTTCACAGATGACATTGCACGTTGAATAGGATTCAGAATAGCCACTCAATTACCAAGCTAGTAATGATACTACAATAATGACCAAGCAATGGAACTGCCTTCTTGTTAAGAGGAGCTTCACTTCCATCAACCCCTGGAAGATCCACCACCCAAACCACTCCAAATTTGTCAGCAAAACAAACATGAAGACCATCATTTCTTACGGCAAGAGCACTCACTCTCTTTTCAGAATACCTGCCATTTAGTGTAGTCATAATTCATCACTAACATAAAGTAAGCTTTCCACGAACACAACAAGAATTAGAACAAGAAGAAGAAAAGCCAGTTGGTTTGTTTAGGAACTTACACGGTAGAAATACAGCGCCAAGACTCGGTAGACCAAACCTTGACAAGCTTGTCATCTCCAGCAGATACAAAGAGCTTTCCGTTTGCTCCATATTTAATAGTTCTTATTGAATCATTATGAGAAGCGCCGCCAGATTCATCCACCAAAGTAACAGCGCAATCTTCTCTGCGAAAGACCAAATTAAAAAAAAAAAAACAAAAAGCTCATTTCTTTACGAAATTTGAGTAAACAAAAATTGATTTGAAGTGTGAGAGCAGGAGGTGAAAAAGAGGGGAACAGACTGCTTACGGTAGATTGAAGACACGAAGGTCCGACCCGACAGAGACTGCAACGGAGTTCTGGGTCGGGTGGACGGCAATAAGGGCGGGAGCAACTTCCACGTCTCTATGGTTTTGTTCACTTTCTTCGATTTGAGTATCTTGCTCCGTTTTGTTGACGTCGTCGTGTTCACACTCTTCAATCGGAGGATCTTCCATGCTTGCGCCTCACCGTCGAAACTAAAACGACGGAGGTCTCTAGGGTTTTAGTGGTGTTTAAGCTGACCGGTGGGCTTTCAAGTCATCGGGCTTTTATGTTATAGGCCCATCTTCAAGGTGTATTTGTTTAAATGGAATTTATTAGTCATTTATTACAGAAAAGAAAAAATTTTCTACTTACAATAGTATGGTTTTTATTGAAGAGTTTGGATCATACACAGGATGTTGAATAAGCAAATGGTTGTCCAGTGAAATCCTAAGAGAGGAAAATTAATTGTCACTGATTGAAAAGTAAAGTAATTATTGACGTAGCTATATTTGATGCATGAGCTTGAGCATGGAGTGGAACAATGAAAAGGGCAAAAAGCCAGGCGAAAGAATATTAATGGCTTACAAAACGAAAATAAGGTAGCCAATAAAACGATCATTTCTCGTCTCCAATAGGAGGAATTCAATGCCTCGACAAGAGTACACTTTTCACAACAAAACCAACAGCTCTAAAAAACCAGTGAGAAACTTAAATTCTTAGCTGAGTACAACCAAAAATTGTTCCCCGGCATTTTGTCATTGGAGCTGCTTGTCGCCATGTCGGTCTATCACCGCCAACTGTCAAGATATCCACATCAGACATTGGTTTGATATCCCAATTAAATCGGTCAGGGCCAATCACCCCTCCTATCACGTAAATTTCATCTCCTAGTCCGGTCATCGCAAACCCGATTCTCCTACGAAACTCCGAGGCAGAAATCACCACCTTTCTCACTTCCTTTTCCTGCTTGAAAATGTGTCCATGGCTCATCACGTAGAGGGATCCCTGTACAACTGCCATTGGACCCTGGAGCCAACCATAATCCTCCACTGTCCACCCAGACCCCATATGGTCCAAGACTTGCACTGTAGATAATCCCTTGTGCAAGACATGCACCTTTCCTCCAATAACTAATCCTGAGCATGCTGAATTATGAGTGCGGTGGAGATCAGGTATTGGAATCCACACATCTTTCTCAGGATCATACATTTCTGCTTGCGATATAGATTTTCTGCAGCTGGTGAAGCCACCAGCAACGATGATCTTTCCCTTCAAAACGCAGCATGCAAACATGGCACGAGGTAAGATCATAGATGCACGTTGAGCCCACCGACGCATTATAGGATCATATGACCAAACTTCATCAGTCGCAAAACTCCCATCTTGATCACCAGTTGATGGGTCAACAGCATCACTCCCACCACCAAGCACAAACAGCTTTCCACCAGTTGAGACCACACCAAAGTGGGCAAGGTGCCTGATCTTTGAGGGAAGGACAGGAAGAGTAATCCAAAGGTCGTGGAGAGGATCATACATCTGCCATAAATTCTCTGGATCAAAGGCACACACACACAGAAGTTCCTCTGCTGAGCCAACCTCCTGTCGAGCCTTAAACAGCTCAGGGCTATGAATGGCAGCTCTCCAGGAGCGAGAAACAAGCTCCAACTTAGGATAAAGGTAGAAGGGAACCCGCGCTATGCACCTAAGGGCAACAGCATCTGGAAGACCTTCAATTAATCCAGACATACTAACCAAGGTTTCATCTGATTCCAGCGATTCTTCACAAACAAATTTTTGCTATGTCAATCACAGCAGTGGAATATACAATCTGAAAGAGCAAATTTGGAACTTGTGTGTTAGAACCAAATGAATTTCAGAAATAATATGTTAATTAAAGTCCAGTCGGATCCCAATGAAAAGAATGACAGCATTGGTTTTCAACAGCATTTGCAGTACAATTAGAATTATTGAAATCATAGAAAATAGCAGTGTTAGGCACCATCTCAGTGTCACCAACATCGGCAAAAAAGGTAGCAATCATCCCATAGTGTGAAGGTGAAACAAAAAGAAAGACCAACTATAACATCAAAATTTAAATCCTCCCTTTAACAAGTAAAATTCTCCAAAAGACACCCAAAGGCTATTGAAATTCCTCTGAAAGAAAAGATATCACTTTCAACGTGGGCAACGTCACCTTGGGAGTAAACATAGAAACTTTTTTTTTTCATGCAGTTATGTTTATTTAAGTGTGAAGTCATGCTCTCACAATAAAATTCCTTTTTGAATACCCAAAGCAAACAACAAATTGTAATCCATTTTTCATTTGTCTATGCAACATAGCTCATGAACAAAAAATTTGAACTACGGTCCTTATGTTGAAATAAAATAACTAGCTCCGTTGCATATTTTGTTTTATGGCAATGAAAACTAATGATCAAGCAGACATGGCAACAACATATCTAGGGGTATTTCATTGGTGAACTTTTCATACCAAGAGTTCCCAGTGTAAGAAATCATCTTGTCAACAATTTTTAAGTGCCTGAAGAAGCATAAAAGACTTGGTGGTTTAAAAAATGACGGAAAAACCAACTGATTAACCCAAAAAGACAAATGTGCCTAAATGAAAATTACCTGCATGTAACATACTTACTAATATGATAAAATAGCATGCAATTTAACTTCCTAAGACTTCATTTCCATGCTTGAGACTGCAGTATGCATGAAATATTTGCAAATAAGAAACAAAGAGGTAGGAAAACTTGACATTCTAATTATCACAGTGTTTCCATCAAACAAAACATACAACAACTGTATGATACCATCAAGGAAGTTGCTTTATTGGAAAAAAGCAGCATTTTTATCAAAAGAATGGCCCACCACATTCTGTTTCAGATAAAAAAAAATCAAGTAGAAACAACAAAAGGAGTCTCATGTATATCTACCATCTCATAATTAATACAAATGCGAGGCTTCCAGCCTACTATCTTAAAAAATACTAATCGCTTAACTAATGCACCTTCCACAATTACTGAAACAAAGCCCAGAAGTTTTGTCTTGGTTTCAACATTAGCTTTCTCCTCTTGAGAGAAGATATTTTCTTAACAAAGAGATGGAGAGATGGAAAGGAAAGAGAATCCAGAATACTCATAAAGGGGAAGACAAACAAAAGAAGTGGGGTGGATGGAAGAAAACAACCTTTTGGAAGAGTTCAAATAATGACAATGAGTAATCTCAGAAATAGAATTTGATTTAACACATCTTTTGCATCCAAGCTTCTAAGCAAGTAGGAAGAATATGGATAATACCTTCAGATATTCACCATTGGATACTTGGATTTACAATTTGCAAATGTATAATGTCAAGTATGGAGCCCAGCTAAGAATTTTAGTCCATGGATTTCAGACTTCCGGCGTTATCCAAATTTTTACAGTAAAAAACCCTTACCAAAGAATTGTTTCTAAATGAGAACTTAACTCAACGGCCCAACCTTTTAAAACGCTAACATTGCAAGTCATTATAAAGTTTTGTCCTTCAACTCATTTTCAGAGCACTTGTGAAAGCTAGTACTTTCAGAAAACTCTGGAAGATCCTCCAAGAAATAAATTAACATTCAAACTGAATTCCAGTTCCTACCTGTATAACACATCAGTTTATACTTATCTGCAAAAACATAGCAGAAAAGTTACCATAGCTGAGAGCCTAGACTGCAATGACTGACAAACAATCTATTTTCTTCTCCTCAGGCAGACTTATCTAACAAATGATAATGCACTGAATTCGACAGACAACAAATAATATATATTTCGTGAAATTTGGCTCAAACAGAAACCCAGATCAGAAATTATATTGCAATAAGCTTCGACTACAAGCTACCACTAATATATGCATACGAATTCAGAAACTTTAAAGATCTAGGATAATATCTTTACATTGTTCAAGTATCAATATTTATATAAGCAAAAGCAATTAAAAAGAAAAAAGGCAGCAATTCCGACATCAAAATATGATCCACGCCAAAACCCTGACTTCACAGTAAAATGGACACATTTCCACAAACGACAAGCACAAAATCTAGCACATTTACAAACAAAAGTGGCATCAGAATACATTTCATTGCCCCGAATCAACCGAATTTCACAATCACAGACAAAGAGACTTCTATTTCACTTCATCAACTTTTTAATCCTAACCCAGGAAAAATCAAAACATCAAATTGCGAACAAAACCCTAAAATTTCAGCAATATGAACAAAAAGAAACTTGCTTTTAAAAAGGACTGCAACCAACGTTCCTTCACTTTCATATAAACCCCACTTATAATTCAGCATAAGGAAGAAAGGGTATTCCGTAATTTGAAAATTAAATTCAAATTCTAAGGAATTGCCAACAAATATCGGTTAAAAAATAGGCAAGTGAAGAAAAATGGCTCAAATTCTAAAGCGTCTGAAATGAACAAAGAGAAGATGCCTTACCTGAAAGCCAAGACCCCGCAAAGAAGAAAAAGATTTGAGCTTCGTTGTTGAGAGAGAGAGAGAGGGAAGAGAGGAAGCGAAACGGCAGCGTGTAATTGCCTGAGAAGAGAAAATATGCGACGGAGAGAGAGAGAGAGAAACTTTTCACAGCTAAGGAAACGCTGAGTTACAAAAACAATGTTTTTCCTTTTTCCTTTTTTTCTTTGCAGTTTGATTATGTGATTGAACGTAATAAAGACTTTTTTTTTTTGGAAGTAGTAATAAAGACTTTTGGTTAAAATATATATATATATATATATATAAGAATAAAGATGTTTTTTTTTTATTTTACGAAAACTCTTTTTTAGGGTTCCTCAAATAAAAAAACAATTTGGTTCTAATTTTAGGGTACCTCTCTAGAACAAACAGAATAAAGCGTGTGGATATTCCACTTCGGATGGCATTTGCTTTACTCCCTGATTTCATTTTTCGTTGACACGTACACGGCACGTGTTGAAAATGACCCTTTATTTTTTGACATTTTCCTACTGGTTATTTATTTTATTGTTTTCTTTTCTAAGCATTTAAAAATCACACTATGGAAAAGAAAGCATCTACTATCTTGTAGCCATTTGGTACAAGCAAAGGGCTACCCAACTCTTACTTCAACATAAGATAAAATTTTAGGATACATTTGCACCCATTTTTTCATAAAAAAAATTAATGTATTATGATAAAAATAACTAGGCGATGATAATATTAATTTTCAAAAATTGGGTAGATTGGGTAGAGAGTCATACTTCAAGCATAATACTCTTGATAAGAAAAAGAAATATATATATATAATAGGTGTAAATGCATTAAATCTCAAAAGAATATATCTTGAAAAAAAAACAGAGTCCCAAGGACTTAAATTGGGTGAGTTCGGTAATGTAGTTAATTTAGCAAAATCTAATTACTAGTAATCGGGTTTGAATTTATCGGAAAACAATCAAGGAAAGGCCTAAGGAGGATTAGATAGGCCTATGGTCTACATATCAATACTAGAGTACTAGTAAAATAGATGCATATCTTGAAGCAAATATGCACCCAAAAAGAAAGAAAATCATTAAATTTGTGGCTTTAATTTGACATTTACTGATGCACACTGATAAATACGTAGCAGCGATGCAAATGGGTGTGAACTCTCTCTCTCTCTCTTTGTACATGAATGAATTAGTACTGTAATTAAGTTAGGTGCAGGTGCATGGCGTTTAATTTCTTGGCTCGCTCGCATCTCAAATGGATCAATATCTATATTGATGGTATTTGAATATTGATGTTGATTGATGACTTGACCTAATTGATTGATAAACACGACTTTCTAAAGTTAATTTTCGCTAACCCCTTGTGTATTGGGTTGGTATTTGCTCGGGCCCAACCCTGGACCAAACCCAGAGTCTTTGGCCAGGAGCCGCCTTTGACCAGAAACTCCTCATAAATTTAGCTGTCAAATTCGTACTAACTTTTCCTTTTCAATGTGCCCAGCGACATTTCTTAAAGCGTCTAGGTTACCATCAACGTGCCTTAAGTCCTAAGTTTTGCTTTCTGAGCGTGACGTTACGATTTCAATCTGGAAGTTATGCCGCTGCTTCGTACACCAGTGATAATTCACTCTCAAGATCTTATGACTAAGCATGCTATATTTATGAAAATGCAAAACATATTTTTATTAGAATTTAGAAATCTGAAGAAAACCAAATAACCCAATACATTCCCCAATAAATTATTCCTCCAAATAATTTAATGACACATTGAAAATCAACAAAGAAAAAACTGCACTCCCTATGTATCTACTTAAATGGTGGTAACAGAGGGTCCATCAGGGGCATAATGTGACGGAAGCTTAGACGGTGATAAAGCTTGAAGCCTGGAACGCAATGAAGAGCAAGACGAAGAGCTTTGAAAATGAGAGCTTAGTGGAGTTCCCAGTTGATGTGCTATCGTCTGTTGTTGGAACAGTCTTAGACGCACCACCTGTACCAACAGAACCAACATGTACATATTAGTCTAATTTATAGAATTGTAGCTAACGCTATTGGGATTCCAAAATTTACATGTTAGCAAGTTAAAAGCAGTCGTTACTTCTTATACCTGAAGGAGAATCTGATGTTCCTGATGGGGAGTCGGAGGGAGAAGAAGCTGTAGATTAACATAAAATCAATCAATCAGAACTTAGAACTTGAACCAGAGCAGAAATGTTTAGAGAATTTTCTTTCCTTGCTAAATAGGGAGTGCTAAGGAAACTTAATTTTCTTACCATTGCACTGGCTAGCAGGGGGAGTCTTAACATTGCAAGCTGTTGGGAGAGCCGTGGCCTGAGTCTGATTAACACTGACTCCAAGTGATGAGGCACCACCATTAAGGACCTCGCAGAGGCACTGAGGCTGTGACCTCACAACATTAGCAAGCTGGGAGCAGCATGAAGAAGATGGCTTTGATGAGTTTCCTTGTATATAATCCAGGCATGGAGACATGCTAACGAGCACACTGGTGCAACTTGAACTTGATTGTGCCACAGCTCCTGTCCATAAAGTCGCTGCAACTATAGCCACCGCCGCAAGCATTGCTTCCATCATGCTTCTAGCTGCCATCGCTTGTTGTAGGATTTGCTTGTGACAACTTGGAGTTTAAGTCTTGAAATGTTAAAAGTGAGGGAAGTCTGGGTCAATGGACTATTGTATGTGGCTTGTAGGGAGAAGACAGGGGGTGTGATTTATAAAGGGGAAACGTGACCAAAGGGAGGCAGCTGTGCTTTATATTGTTCACCAACTTTTCCTACTTCATAAGAGATTCTTAGGTAAACAACTCTAAATTTAGAACTTTATAAAATGAGTTTTTAATAAAGTCAGCCTTAAAGTCTCTCTCTATTTTTTTCAGATGGTGGGTTGCACTCCTTTAAAGAATATGTAATGCATCAGATATCAATTTTTCTTTTCTGTTAAAGCAGGTTAAAAGAATTTATACCCACTACTTTGTTATATGCAAGGCTACGGGGAGAGTATTTTCCTTGAAAGGTGTATAATGAACACGTGGAAGCGAGAAATTCCCGAATCCACCAATCAACCTGATAAAGGCAACATAGACATTTCTTTTCCAAGACAATATAAATTCAGCGACGCAAAATCCAAGAGGGCTCCTTTAAAGGAATAAAGAAAAGAAAAGGTCGGTTGGGTGGTGTTTATTAGGATCAGAAACTTGAATACTACCCGGATCCGTTTCAAACTAATTACCTGCTCATGTTCATAAGACCATGCTAAATTACTGCTGTTTCTTAAAGTTCTTCAAGTTTCCTTTTTGTTTTTGCTGTATTTTCATTAGTTACTACTCGTGAGTTATTTCATCCTGATATTTATTTCTCTTAAAAACATTTACTATCACCAAATTAAAAGATCATTACTTTATTACTATATGCATTAATAGTTAATACATTAACAGTGTACATTAAGGTGGCATTTGGTATTTT